CGTCGCTCTTGATACTGAAGCTTGATATTTGCAACAGGTTCACGGATGGAGGGCGGGTGGTCTTCAAACCGCGCACTGTCGTGTTAAAGTTTGCGACATATCCAAAGGTGGAGGTCGAGACGTGTTTAATGCGTGACTCTCGACTTAGCGCCGCCCACATTCGTCTTAAAAGTCTACAACTGCTTCAAGGAGTCGTCTGCTTGAAATCCTCGGAATAGTGTTCTAGCACAATTTGATTAAGATTCTCTGAACGCAACAGTCAAGTTGGTTCGGGCTGTTGAAGTCCCAAGAAAGATGTGATTGTACGATTTCGGAGTGTCAGGACCGTTGAGCGTTGAAGACCCAGGGGTGGTGTTTTGGCACACTGTGGGATTATCGGACGGCTGTCTTCCAATAACTATGGCACTCCCCGCAATGACAAGAAATTATTGCAGGGACCTAAAAAGAAGGAACTCTGAGGGAGGGTCAATTGCAACATCGTTGATGCGCCTTTGGTTCGCACTGGTCCTCATCCTCCTCCTGATCCTCCTCTTCCTCATCTTCCTCCCACTCCTCCTCGTAGCTGAGCCTATCACTCCCACCTGGGCGGAGCATTTGGATCGAACTGCCCGTGGTCTCTAGCCGAAGGCTCCTGAGTGCAGGCAAGAAGCGTCGTTGTGCCACCAGGTGTAAATAGTAGAACCAAAACTACATAAACATAGCTTCTCGAATCTCCGCGCGGAGCTGCTGGAAACTATGGTTACGCAATTGTTTGCTCGTCGAGTTGTGTATGCGTCAGCTGACTTCGCCGTAGGGTCAAGCTCATGCCCGTACTCCTGCGACCGAGCCATGCTCGGAAGGCGCGTCCTCGTTCTCGATCTTCGGGATGATGTGGATGCTGCGCCCCCTCATGCCGAGGGTGTCCTGGAGAGAGGGGAGCAGACATCCTCGAGCAGACCTCCTCGCGTCGTGCTGAAAAAACTAAAAACGACTGCACCATGAAAGAAACACGACGAAGAGTCTTTGACAAGTTTGGCATCTGGGATCTCTTGCGGGGCCTGGGGACTGCGCAACAAAAACTACTCAGGATGAATAAACGGTCCCGGGAAAAGGGTCGACACCTCCAAGAATCCAAGCTGTGAAAAAAACATGCCGACGCATGGAAATATTGAGAAGAAGGAGGGATGACAGAGAAGGAGGATGAGGAAAGACTGGGGAGGCAGGAGGCAGGAGTGGGCGTAGGGCGGAAGTAAGAATCGACGCCGTCTCTCACATGCCGAGGGTGCCCTTGAGAGAGGGGCATAGAAGAGGATGAGCAGCATGCGAACGGGTAGGAGCAGGAAGGAGCAAATTGGGGAAAACAATGAAAACGAAGTCGAGAAGTGGAAAAAGCAGGAGCGGGAGTAGGAGAAGCATAAGAAAAACGAAAACGAGGAAGTGGAAGAGGACGAGAATGACGATGCATATTGTTTGCGGCTCGCACAGAGCACGACAAAGCTGCATCGCCTGATATGGCCAAAGCGTACTTACCTCCGCTCGGGAACATACCGCCGCGCATCGGTGTCTGCATCTGAGCTTCCCACTTCGTATGTTCATATACCCTCGTGCGTCGACACATCGCCCTGTGTATGATGTGGGGATGACGAAACTGGAGCAGGATACAATGGGAAACCGCTTGGCGTCTTCTGCGGCAGGTTGTTCTGAACAACTCTGGGGAACAACTCTCGCATGAAGTCAATGATGTGCCGATAGGACCGCGCATCGGCAGCAGGGTGATGGCCGTCCAACCCAGGAGCCAACGCAAAACCGTGCCCAACGCCATAGTGGATGACGAACTGAATGTCGAGCCCGGGGTCAGACATCTCCCAGCGGAATCGTTCCACCATGTCAGGCGGCGCAACATGGTCTTTCTCGCCGTGCTCAATGAGGACCTTGCAGTTCTTCGCATAAACAGCAGGGTCCACGGTGGTGTCCAAGACTGGAGGCGGAGCGTGTCCAGGGCCCAAAGCGATGGGCTTCGTCTCAAAAACGCCATGCAAGGACACGATGCCCTTGACGTCAAGACCCTGACGCCACATCTCAAGGACGGCAATGCCGCCGTAGCAGAAGCCCATGGCTGCGATTTCCTCGGGATTCACTCCAGTCAGCGCCTGGGCTGTCTCGAAAAAGGCACGCACGAGGGCTCGGAATACGGTCTGAGGTCTTTGGAGCTGAGTGTTCATTGCTTCCAGCGCGATCTTCCGGTGCATCGCCCGCTCAGGGCTGTCCAGGCCATACTGGCTGACGTTACGAATCTGGTGCGGAACCTGCGCATCCGAATAATAATCACAAACCAAAGCAATATCCGCCACCGCGCTTGCAGCGGGTGGTGCGCTTAGTGGGCCCTGGAAACGACAGGGCCGTTTTTGTTACGGGTTCCGTTTTGTCGTTGTTTTGCCGGTTCCGACGCCGTTTTTTTTACCCCGGTTCCGTCGCCGTTTTTTGACCGGTTCCGGCTCCGGTTCTGATCCTGGAGCCGTCTTTTTGCCGTTTCCGGTCGCCGTTTTTTGCCGTTTCCATTTTCAAGGGATATGTTTTCTGGAAACGGTGAAAAAACGGCCCTGCCGTTTCCGGGGCCCACAAAGGTGGTGCGTCGGCCCTTGCATATTTCATCAGCTTGGCGTCCTCTGAAGCAACAATGAGAGACCCCGCGACGCACCGAACTCAACGGCATTATTTGTGAATATGATCACAGACATTGCTTTCGGCCGCTCTACGAACACAGAAACGTCACCGCGCCGCATGCGCCGAGGGGAATCGCATCCAGGTCTTCTGAAATCCTCTGTGCTGAATCTTGGAACGGGTCAGGATCCAGGACTCCTGGGGAAGTCTCTGGCGCTCCTGAAGGAAAAGAAAGAGAGAACTACGATTAAGTCGGGCCCGTCCCCCTACAGGGGGATTTTCGACGAAAAATGAAAAATACCCCAAAAATACACGAAAAAATTAAAAATAAAAAAAACACAAAAAAAATAATAAAAAAACTAACTATTTTTGGACTATTGTTTGACTATTTTGGAGGTATTTTTTATTTCTCGTCGAAAATCCCCCTGTAGGGGGACAGGCCCGACATAAAACTACGACCAAGACCGAACGCAGAAGCGTCACTGCGGCAGGCGCTTCTCTTCCCTGGAGGGGCGCCTCGGGAGCGCGGCTCGGCATCGAGAGCGCCCAGCACGCCCCAGGACGGCGCCGCGGGGCCGTCCCCAGGCCCTGCCGGGCGCCCCCCGCTGGCCCCCTTCGAGGCCAGCTCTGGCCATCTTCAAGGCCAACTCTTGGCCATCTTCAAGGCCAACTCTGGCCATCTTCAAGGCCAACTCTGGCCATCTTCAGGCTCTGCCGGGCCCCCCCTCTGGCCATCTTCAAGGCCAACTCTGGGTGCTGGCCCCGGGGCCCAAAAAATCATGGAGACACGATCGAGCTGAACATGCTCGGCCGTTCGGCCGGAAGAGCGTCCCGAGGCTGCTCCCCCGAGGCCCATAGGGGGGCCCACCCGAGGCGGCCCCACGAGGGGCCCCAGACGGGGGGGCACGGATGACGCTGTACGTCTGGCCCTGTCCCTCCAGATGGCCGCTGAGACCGCCAGCGGGCCCCAGAAAGAACCCCAAGAGGCGCCCAAAGCCCCCACGAAGCATCCAAGATGCCCTCTGGATCTCCAAACGGCTTCCAAGAAGCCCCCAACAGGTCTCCAAGCGGCCCCAAGGATGAATCCCCCCACGTGGCCGAAGGCCACTAGATCCGCGCCCGCGTTGGCTTGACACCAGGGTGCCCCCGGTGGCTTGCCACCAGGGTGCTTGGCGTACCACATGTTTGGATATATCTTGACGGCAAAATAAACAAACAAACTCATAGTAAGCACTCCGACAAGCAACGCCGTTTAGCAAACGCGCCCAAGGAAAAAATCGAACAGGGCATGGCTGTGTAGTCAACGCCCAGGGCCGTTGAGTAAATGCCAATCGTGGAGGTCGGGGTGTTTTTTCACTCCCCTGGCAGCAGCAGGAGGAGGCGGAGGAGGCGGAGGAGGAGGAGGGAGGGGGGAGGGAGGAGGGAGGAGGGAGGAAGGAGGAGGGAGGAGGGAGGGGGAAGGGGAGAGGGGGGAGGGGCAAGCTAGGTGCGCTCGCGTCAACATCTGACATCCTACCCCTCCCTCCCATCCCTTCCCATTGAGCTACTTCATTGTCCTCTCACCGAATCGGGCTTCGCATCTGACCCTGTTACCTAAGAGGGAAAGGAGGAGGACGACGGCGCGATGAAAACGAAGACGACGACGACGAAGACGACGACGACGACAACCACGACGACGACGACGACGGCGGCGACGACGACGACGACGACGATGAGGACGACCGGCGACGAAGACGACGACGACGACGACGACGACCGCGCCGGAGCGGCACCCGCGCCAGCACGATTTGGAACGACCAGCGGCGCGGAAAATAGGACGAACGCTGCAGCGGGAGCAACATTCTGAAGGACCGGAAAGACTCGGATTTTCAAAAACATAGATGAAAACCAAACTCCCGGGAATCCTGTGCGGAAAAGGACGCCGCCCAAAAGGGGGGGGGGCTTTCTGCGGCCCCAAAAATCAACGAATCGACACCGGATGCGTAATCACCTCCAATGTTTTTGCCGGGGATCATTTTCTAGATTTGGGGCTTCTTAAAAAGGATCGAAAACGTCGGCGCTGCAGCGGGAGCACGTTTTGGAACAACGAGAGGCGCAGAAATTGGGCCAGCGCTGCAGCGGGAGCACGATTCGGAACGAGCGGGAGCGCGGAAATGAGGCCAGCGCTGCAGCGGGAACACGATTCGGAAGGAGCGGGAGCCCGAAAATTAGGCCAGCGCCTCAGCGAGAGCAGCATTTTAGAAAAAAACACAAGCGAAAACCCAACTCCGGGGAATCCTGTGTGTAAAAAAACAGTACGCGGGGGGGTGCCGAACATCTTCCGGACGCCATCAGGGGAAGTGGGAGAGTAGTATTCATATTGTGTAAATTGCGGAGGGGAGAGGAGGGAGGAGGGAAGGAGGAGGGGGGACGAGGAGGACCAGGAGGAGGACCCCCCCACACCCTCACTGTCGCACCCCCCACAGGCAAGGGATCCTGGCGGAAACGGGCCGTGCACGGCGGGGCGCTCCCCGGGGTGGGCTCTTCACCCTGCTGCGTTTTTGTTCGCGGCTAGGGGACCACATGCGAACCTTACCCCATACCCCGCTCGATTTCTGGTGGGGGTCACTTCGCTCGGGAGCTCCCGAGCGAAGTGAACCCCACTTTCCCCCTCAGAAATCGCTCCCGAACGAAGCGAGCCCCACCCCCCACCCCAGAAATCGTGGGGGGCAAGGGTCGGGTTCGCACGTGGCTCCCTAGCCGCGGGGCCTCGGGGAGGGCCCCGCGAGCTCAAAAACCGCAGAAACCTCCAGGAGCCAACTGCCTTTTGCTCCCATGCGGGGTCGCAAGAGGTGCCGACCCTCCCCCCAGGGCCGGCGGCGTTTCGTCCTGAATCTTAGGTCGGGCATGCCCCCCCACTGGCGGATTTTGGATTTAGGAATTCTCAATAAATCCGCCGATCCGGCGTGCGAACTACAAGGAGCCTGGGCAAGAGCTTCAGCTCTGAGCCTAAGCAAGAGCTTCGGCTCTGCTTGGGGGGTGGGCGCCGGGGTAGCTCCGCCGGGGAAGGAGGGTAAGGGGGTGGGGGGGGAGAGGGGGGGGGAGGGCGGTCCCCCATTTGGCGTTTTCTGAATGGCTTGTCATCCCCAAGATGTTTCGGGGGGTCCCATGGACCCCCCTCGGATCTTGCCGCCACCGCCCCCAGGACCCTCCCCTCGGAACCCTCCCCGGACCCCCCCCCACGGGACCGCTCCAGGCACCCCCCCCAGAGGAGAAGAAAGAGGACTGGAAGAATGGAGGAGGGAGGAGGCCACAGAGCCGCGAAGATCACCGAATCCGGAGCCCCCCAGATCGGCGGCACTGGCCGGAGGCCATTACAATATACAGTGTAAGTTGCGAGGGATTTCCAAAAATTATCAGAAACAGTCCAAAAATCGTCCCCTGACTATTTTCTAAACTATGTTTGAGTATTCCTCCTGTAGAGGGACAGGCCCGACTTAACCGTACTGCGTTTCTCCCATGCGTCGGAGGTCTGGAGGCCCGAATCCTCCCGGATATGTCTTCTTCGTGCCAGCCAGCCAGACAAGCGCTCAAAGAAGCCCCCAAGCGCTGTGAATCGGATTCTTCGCGGCAGCGGAGCTGGATAGCCGAGGTCGGCGATCCACCTGGCAACCGTGATGTCCGGGGGCGATGACGGGGACGACTGGCCCAGGGGCGAGCAATACGTGTACCCGGGAGCGCCCACGGAGCATGCCCTCGGCGAGGCTCCTAAGCAATACGTGTCATGCCCGCCCCTGGGCTATCCGCCCACATCGTCGCCTCCGAGATGTGGTATTCCATCATCCCGCAGTACTGCGGCCAGATCATCATACAGGGCAAGCTTCCACTCCTGTCCCCGCTGGCTGCGGCATCTCCACTGGGCCTGCCGGATCGGACGCTCGGGCGGGCTGGCCGAGGGAGGGTTGGCGACTCCGCTCGCGTGGCTGAGTCTCCCGGCACCCGAAGCGCTGGCGCATCGAAAAAAGTGCCGACGGCGGAAACCGCCTGCATGCAGCAAATTTCGCAACCCGCCCTTTGCCCTGACCCCCCGTTTCGTCCGCCCCGAGCCGGGCCTAAAGACGTAGCCATACAGCTGATGACCTTGGAACTCTAAGGAGACGCGTTCGTGCGCGCTGTAGTCGCAGTATGGCTTTCCGAAGTTGCACCCCGTGGCTTTTGCCCTCTTGGTTGCCATCTCGATGCTCGCACTCTGACTACGATGAACGAGCCAGGATGGCTACGGGGCAGAAGCGAGCCCACGTCTGTCGAGCAGACCCAATCTGAGTCGAAGCCGGGCATACTCGCGCAAGGAGCTCATCAACAGAACGACGTGGCAAGGCTCGAAACCCGGAATCCAGCAAACTTAAGGCGCATTGCCGTGGGAGGCCTGGAAATGGGCACCAACACCAAGACAGAGGGCTGCCCCCACAGAGGGGGGAGGTGATCCTGGACTTCGGTGCTGGTGGCAATCTTTCGGCCACCTTGGAAGCCAGAACAGTACCACCATCACCGAGATCGGGATCTTCTTCCCTCGGTGGAGGCACACCGCCGATCTTGGTGTTGGTGTCAACCTCTGGGCCTGCGCTCTCGGCCGAGCTCCGCCCGCACTCCTCGGGGGGGCCCTGGGCGACCCGGAGCGGCGGTGCGCCAGCCCCTGCTGCCCACGGAGAGACCTGCGCGCCCGGCCACGGACCGGAACGCGGCCCCCCCCCCCTTGTGGGGCGAGGAGGAGGAGGAGGAGGAGGAGGAGGAGGAGGTTGGGGGTTGGGGTCAACCTCTAGGCCTGCGATGCGGGGGGACGTCGGCGGAGCCGCGCCTCGCTCCGCTCCCGCCAGCCTCTCCGGCCCCCCCCCCCCGCTGGAGAGGAAGCCAACTTCTCGACTCGTCGAAGGCGGGCCCTGTCATCCTCCTCCTCCTCCTCCTCCTCCTCCTCCTCCTCCTCCTCCTCCTCCTGCTCCTGCTCCTGCTTCTCCTCTTGATCCTCCTCCCCCTCCTCCTCCTCCTCCTCCTCCTCCTCCTCCTCCTCCTCCTCCTCCTCCTCCTCCTCCTCCTAGCGTGTCTCGCGCAATCGAGGGTGTCGGCAAGCCTGGCTGGTCTGTGAACCGAGGTCGAAGGAAGGGCGTCCCTTCGCGAATCCTGAGGGTGTCGAGCGGATCCAGACTGCACGCGAAGCCTACAAGACTGAATGCCGATTGAAGTTGAAAAAAACTCAACACTGGACACGCTTAGGACCTCGCTGATATCCGCTGGAGGGCTGTGGAGTGAAACCAAAGATCACAGCGAATAATATTCCTGGGAGCTTCCAGGACTGTCAGAACTGGAGGAGTTCAATTCGGATCGCAGACAGGAGTGAAACTTGCAATCTAGTCTAAGTTCGAACAGCTTGGGAACTGAACGGCCCCAAAGATCCAGGAAAAGAACATCTACCAGACTAACTATAGTCAACAGGCTGAACATGAAGTCAGCTCCCAAAAGAAGTAACAACAACAACAAAAGTCAGCCGCCAAAGAAGTCAGCTATCCATCAGAAGTCAGCTACCAACAAAAAGCGACTCAAAGCTAGAAATCAAAAGAACCAAATATGCCAAATAAGCAGCAGCAGCAACAACAGTCATTTTAAGACGGTTCGCTCCTATCTGTTCGCGTGCCATCGAACACGTACATCCCAAACCCTCGGTACCCTACCTCTTCGTCTTCGATCATGCCCCCCTTGGCGGTGCATATTCCTTACCTGCCACGTGCATTTAGTGCAGCCCCTGAAACTGGGGAAGAGAGGGCGGATGGAAGGGGAAGGGAGAAGGATGGAGCACGACAGAAATTAGCAGGAGGGGGGCTAGGAGCAGAAAGCACGTGGCAAAACCGGACGGGCAGACCAGGCGAGCAGACCCTAGCGGGCGGGTCGGGAAGACGGGCCCAGGAGGCCAGGTCGAGCAGGCAGGTTGCTGAAACGTGACAGTGAGTCATGCATGAATCGCGAGGAAGTCTCGAGCGATAGCGCGGTTTCCAAGTAAATCGTAAGAAAGGCCACGGCGAGAGCGTGATTCCTGAGTGTCGAGGGCGAGGCTTCTGAACAAATTGCGAGGAAGTCCCACGCGAGAGCGCGATTCCTGCATGAATTGAAAGGAAGTCCCGCGGGAGACCGCGAGACCTCAACACATTGCGAGGAGGTATCCGGCGGGAGCCGTTGTTGTTATGACTCGGGGGCCAGGGGCCCAGTCTGGTGACACCCAGCTTTCCCTTATAAAAGAAAGGTCCCAGGAGGAACAATTTAATTCAGAAATGCAATGGTTACAGGAAGGGGCCGATAAACAATAATATTGTTCCAGAAATGATTGTTTAATCGCTTCGCTCATTCCGTCGGCCCATATTGCCTCGCCGCTGTCGTTTGTCGGGGTGTTGTTGTCAATGCGGTGCGGTTGGGCAGCTGCCATTCTTCGGAGGCGGTGGGTGGCGGGTCAGAGGCCTCACGGATGTTGGTTGGGCTTTCGTGGTTGACCTCTCAAGGGCCTTTTTGAGGCAGTTTTGAGGCCTCTTGGGGGCCGTGTTGGGGCCTCTTGGGGCCTCTTGGGGGCCTCTTGGGGCTTCTTGGAGTGCCCCTTGGGGGCCCTCTTGGGGGCCTCTTGGGGCCTCCTGGGGGCCTCTTGGGGCTGAAGGCTGGACTTTTCGGTTCCTGGTCCCCTTCCTGGGCCCCTCTTGGGGCCGTTCTGAGGCTCTCTTGGGCCGTCTCGGGCACGTTCGCCGGACAGCCTCCGACCGCTACCGCGGCTGCTTAGGATTTCGTGCTGCAGAGCTGTCGGCGCGCAGTGGCGCGTCGTGGCCTCCTCGTTTGGAGTTGGCTGTGGTTCGACTTGGGATCTGCCACGGTTAGATGCGGGGGCGTGCTCAGCAGCCGCGTGGTGCATCGAGGCGGTCGTGTGCAGGGCAGGCTCTGCAGGAACGACCCCGCTCATCAGGCACTTCTGTTCGTGACCCGATGTCTTCCTACAGGGAAGGCTTTCGGCTTCCAGAGCCGCCTGGACCCTTCTTGTGGAATGCGCTCGGGGCCTCTTGGGCCGTCTTGGGCGCATCTTGGGCTGTCTCGTGGCCATCTTGAGCCGTCTTGGGGCCCTCTTGGAGGCTTCGTGGGCCGTCTTGGGACGGTCTTGGAAGCCTCTTGGGCCGTCTTGCCGGAAAGCCGAAAAGGCGAGAATGCGTCAAAGGCTGTAGGAAAATCACTAATTTCTGCCTCTGTGGGATGTCTGGGAAGGTCACCTGGAGGCCTCTTGGCGCGTCTTGCAGGTGCTTTGGGCTGTCTGGAGGCCATCTTTGGCGTCTTGGATCGCTCGTGGGCCGTCTCGGGCCAT